TCTCTCTCTCTCTCTCTCTCTCTCTCTCTCTCTCTCTCACACACACACACACACACACACACACACACACACACACGCACACACACACACACACACACACACACACACACACACAGAGGCACGCACACGCCGACGGAAAGAAAAACGCCAACGTTCTATCCCAGGCAAGCACTCGTTGAATCGTAAATAAATACCGTCATAGAAAATTGCCGAGAACTAGGGGCGCAGAACCCTCTCTTCTGTCGCATAATTAGAAAAGGATTTGCACAATAAATGCCCCACATTTTTTTCTTCCCGCACCTGGGAGGTAGACCAGCTCTTCTCCTTCTCTCTGCCACCTCTCACTTTATTATTCCCTTATCAATAGCACTTCCTTCTTTCCCCCCTCTTCCTCCCTTCTTCCTCGTTCCTCCCCGTCCCTCTCCTCCAAAACCAGTCCAATCGACGAACACATCTACGTAACACGGCTTATAGACTTAGAAGACTTGTAATTTCCTAAACCATCTGTCAGTGAACTTAAGAAGAAAAAAACGATAAGAAAAAACATCATTTAAAGAAGGAAAAATCCTTTTTATCTGCACATTCTCCTGAGCGCCAACAGGACCACTACTAATGAACACAACAGCGCAGCTAAAGCATTAACGATACACATGTCACAATCCTGCGGAGATGCTGAACGTGATCACGGTGATGCCAATCTTTCGCCTACCCTACTTGCAAGATAGTTCGGCGGGGAGCGGCGCAACAAGGTAAGACTGGCGGGGAGCGGCGCAAACCGCGCCGCAAGCAAGCGAGCGAGCGAGGCCGACCTGTCCGAGCGAAAGCACGACACGTGGCACGGCTGCGCAAACCGCCAGAAAACTTATCAACCCCGCGTGCGACCTGATGACATCCCTTCAGCTCCGCAATCACAGCAGAGCCAGGGGAGGCTCCAGTGAAAGCGGCAGAGTCGCCGAGGGCTCCTTCGCGAGAAGCTCCTGGGGAAAGAAGCCGGCGGAGGCCCCGCCAGGCCGGCGCAATCACGACCCCATACCTGCACGCGGATGCGCCGGTGCTCCAGGGCCGTACGGCGGGACCGAATTACTCGTAGCGGCGTCTGTCGTTAACGTTGATACCGTCGAGTCTCCTCCTCCTCCTCCCGTTGCAATTCCTCCTCCTCCTCCTCCTCCTCCCGTTGCAATTCCTCCTCCTCCTCCTCCTCCTCCCGTTGCAATTCCTTCTCCTCCTCCTCCTCCTCCCCCTCCTGCTGCTGCTGCTCCCGCTGCAGCTGTTGCCCCTCTCCTTCTCGCACTATCGGCTTTCGTTTGGAATTCTTTGGCTTCCTGCAGTGTTCGGACAACTACGGAGATCTTCGGGCGATTCGCCGCGAACGGTTCACAACACGTGATTGCACACTCGGCCATCTGCCACAGAGACTCCACCGAATACTCTCCCTCCTTGATCCTGCTGTCGAGAACGTTCCTTATATTGTCGTTACTCATTTCTTCCCTCGCCCACTTTACCAGGTCGAAGTGCTTTTTCTGTGATGCGTCGACGGGTCGTCTCCCGCTGATAATCTCCAGCAACACCACTCCGAAGCTGTACACGTCACTGCCATCTGTCAGCTGACGTGTCAAAAAATACTGCGGATCAAGATACCCTGCCGTGCCCTTGATGTCCGTCGTTATGTGGGTGAACTCCTCCCCCTCCGCTAACAACTTCGACAATCCGAAGTCCGCCAGCTTGGCGTTCATCCGCTCATCAAGCAAGATATTGGACGGCTTGATGTCGCGATGGATGACGGCGGGCTCCACGTGGAGATGCAAGTAGCTGATGGCATTGGCAACGTCGAGGGCGATGGAAATCCTAGCGCTCCAAGGGAGGACATAGCCGGCCTTGGCGCGGTGTAGATGATCGCGCAGCGTGCCGTTCCCGATGTACTCGTACACCAATGCTTGACACGTGTCGTCATTACAAAAACCTAGCAATCTCACCAAGTGCCGATGATGAAGCAGAGGGAGGATCTGGATCTCCTTCACTAATTCGGTGATACCTTGGCGCGAAGAATTCGACAGCTTTTTCACCGCCACCCATTGATGGACGTTTGGCGGGCATTTGACCATCCCCTTGAACACGTGGCCGAATCCTCCGCCTCCAATTTTCACCGCAAAATTCCTCGTCGCTCTCCTTATCTCATCCGTCGTGTACTGCCTCACCTGCGCCGTCGTCGGCGGACTTCCTGAAAATCCTTCCACAGTCAATACTCCCTTCTCCTTTACCCGTTTACCCATCCCGACCCCGACTTTCTCCACTGTTTCTCGTCCTGAGCTTGGTCCCGTTACCGTCGGTCCCGACTCTCCGCCGGATCTCCTAAAACAAAGAAACCCCAAACAACTACCCATTTCCTCCTTGCGCGCCACCATCCCCTTCACTTGTACTTTATCTATCTATGCATATTCAAATCCCCTCCTCCCCCCACCCCCCCCTTCCCCCACCCCTTCCCCTCCCAAGGCCCCACTCCCTCTCCCCTCCCACTTTCCTTTTTTGGCTACAAACCGATTATTTACACACCGTAGTATACTCTCCTTGCCTTTCTTCTTCTGCACTTATTACTCGTCTATAGTTCAACACCTACAGGGCATACAATCACTTGATGGGCGCGCCATAAATTCTCTTCGCCCATTTCCACCTTCTGAACCACCATCCCCTTCCTGCTCTACCAATTTACGTCCGAATCTCATCCTTTCACCGCGTTTTGTTTTTGCCTAAACTCTCATCATTTACCTGTGCAAACGCACCCTTCCATCCATGCTTTTCC